CTTTGTTACGTGCAATGAGATCCTGATTAAATTTCTCATTCTTGCTCTTCTCAGGTTATTCTTAATGTATATGATTTTGATAATTATAAGAGTCAACATGCCAATTAAGCCAATTTTAAGATCTATTTTTTGGGGGGAATTCCAGGGATAAGTCCAGGGGTGCTTTGTCACTGAGCCACATCCCCTCTCTTTTATTTTTTATTTTGAGATAGGATCTTGATAAGTTGGTTAAGTCTTCTCTAAGTTGCTGAGGCTGGCCTTGAACTTTCCATTCTCCTGGCTCCTGTGAGTCACTGGCATTACAGGTATATGCCATCATGTCTGGCTAAGATATGTTGAGAGAAATGAAGTTTCATACACTATTTTCACTCATATACAAAATTATTTTTTAAATCAAGAAATAAATCATCCTTTAAGCAACCTTACCAATATACCCTATCAAATTTTCATCCATAATATTCATATAATCCCTTACTTTAAAACTTACAATTGTGTATGTATTTTTCTTAAAGTATAACAATTCAGTTAGGTCACTAATTATCATGTATGTTGATTATTGATAAATGGGTCAGCAATATATATATTGAATAGATTATCTGCAGAAATTGGTGCTATATTTCATGGAAGGGACTGTCAACACCTCATATCTACAGAAAGAGTTTGTTCTTATGATAAATATTATGTATTATTAATAAGATGAGCCATATTAATGATTTGGATGGAAATCATGTGAAATATGTTTCTATGAAAGTTACTGAGTTAGAGTGAATAATAACCATTTGGATTAAATTCACATATAAAGTAGGTTATCAAAAATTATTTAAGTTTCTCAAGAAATATCGAATGTTCTAACTCAATATGCATGTGTTAATATATTGCAAGTATATGAAATGGTATTATTCCAAATTATTAGGATGGGCATGATTTACCAATAGCATTCTTTAACTACTTCTTGTGCTCCAAACACTCTATCTCATTCTCCTTCTTTCTGTCTCACACACATATGCCAATAACAAAACTTTAATCTAAATTAGATAATTCTATGTTAATATCATTAACTTACTAATTTAAAAATGTAGAGTATTTCTATTGTAGGATAGCTGTCATTTAAATATTCACTAGATGCCAGATTTTGTGCTAAGCCATGTATATCTGTTCTATTATTTATTCTTCACACAAAACTGAAAGTTAGGAATTGTTACACTGATTTTAGAAATGAAGCTATAAATAAAATAGTTTAACCATTTTCATTAGTTTTTTCTATAAAAGGCAATTCGGTGTTAGAACACAATTTTTCCCCTGCCTGTTCTTCTATTCCATGCTGCACAGAAATATGGTTGTTTTAATAGATGACCTCAAAATTTCTGCCTCTTACAAAAGTCTAGAACTACATATGGCAGTAGCAGCCAAAATCTGCTTAACTCATAACTGTAAAGTTAGATAATTCATAAGTTAAATGTGACCCAGTTAATAGGATAATACTCAGCATCTCCATAGAAGCCTACATTAAAATAGCCATTAAAATGTCACACTGTGTAATCAAGTAGTAAAATAGTTTTCCTAAATTGAGAAAATTTTGCATTAATCAATTTGTTTTCCACATCTGTTTTGCCACAAATCACATCACTTATTTGATCTTAAAAACTTTCCTTTCTCTATCAAGATAAAAATGCCACCAAAATTTTCCAAAGTATTTCCTTAAGATTCAAGCAATAGTGTATGATACTTGAGTAATTTCTAATGAATATTTCTTAAGCAAGTTTCCACTAATTCTGTGAGCTTTTGTGCAGAATCATTTTTGTATAAGATTTATTAAGTACATTTTATCGTTTTTATAAAGTTACACAAATAAATTCTATAGAATTTTAAAATAGCATAGGTAATTAGATAGTTTTGAAATATATGTCTGAATCTATTCTTTATCTTTTCTCATAATTTGATTGAATTGACTTAATGGGTACACTTGATAGGATTTCAACATTTGGATTTACATGCTTTGTTCAAAGTTTGGACTTCCCAAAATGTCTAAAAATATTAAAATTTATGAAATCTTAAAAAACATAAAATCTGAAGTTAGCTTTTTTCAGAGGATGAAAATGGAAGGAAGAATAATTTTCCAGCTAGCAAGCAGCCATGATTACTCTCCCCTAGTTTGATTCTATTATTGGCTGAATATAGATTAATGTACTTGTCTCCACTGTTCCAATATATAATGCATGGACACGATTACTAGGGTAATTTAGAAACAGGATGCCTTTAATCTTCTGCTCATATCAATCAATTACAATACATAGATTATAGAATGTTCTATGATTTTACACTGAATCATTAATAGAACTAATCTTAGAGCTAAATGAGGCTGGGGGAAAAATGTGAAGCCCACAGAGCTTACTCATATGCAACACTGACAATGGAACTTTAACAATCATGTGATTCATTAACCAATCCAAACAGGAGCCATTCTGAAAGTTGTAAAAAGATAGAGAATAGTTCAGCAAGCAGGAAGACAATTGTACTCTTAAAGAACAAAGGCAGAATTCCAGGGTTTCCAGAGTTAATAGCCTGTGAAATATGGTATCAGACTCATAATAAAAACATCTTGCCATATGAAAGATAAATATTGTGTTTCAAAATCAATTTGGAAATGTCTATTCACTTACAGAAGTATTCATTCAATGAGTTTATATGTGACTAGAAAACATGTGTGTCTATATTTATTTGTCATAACTTACTGTTGTGTTATTACACTGTGAAACCTTAAGTAAAATGAAACTTTATACAGAAAACCTTAATTAGAATCACACAGTATGCATTTATTGAGTTTTCTTTGGAGTCCTTGATGGGTTTTGTGAAGAGGATGTGTTTGGGTTTGATTAAATAGCTAAGTAGAAAAAGATGTTTTAGAGATAAAATGAAAATAGAACTTGGTGTTTCTGTGGGTATTTGATGAATATGATTGTTGTATAAGGACATATCAGGGCCACTTGCCTGAATTTACAGTTTTATTTTATGTGGCTGGATGTAGGCAGAGAGCAGTTGCTAAAGGTAATGTCAGAGTCAGCACCACGGATAGCTCCACATATTCAGCACCTTGAAGAGGAATTATCTTCATGTGAGACAGTTTGCAGCTAGAGCACAGAATGACAGAATCAACTGCTCATAAAGAATAGAGGAGGGAAAAGCCATACATTGAAAAGGGGTATCTTTTTATATCCCCAAAGAGACAACCATACAGTAATAATGTAATGTTAGTTAATAGGAACATTCAACATTTCTTGGCAATGTGTTCTGATTCATTTTCATTGCTATTGAATGAAAAAGTAAAATTTGTTTAGGTTTTTGTTCTTGTCTTGATTTGTTGTTGTACATTTTCTGGACTATAATAGTTGTTATGTTTATTTCTTTCTTATTTATTGCGACCCATAGGATTCTCTTTACTAAACTAACTCCTCTGCTTCTTGGCCATTCCCAATTCCACCCTCATTATCTCACTTCAAATATCAGGCTGTGATAAAATATAAACCAGAGTGACTCAATGCACAGGCAGAGGTGATTAATGGACTGCAAGAACCCCCCTTCCCCAAAAAAATCTCTAACATGCAACTATATGTTTGAAAGGGATGGATAGAACCTCATTACCAGCTAGAAATTAGAGGTTTGTCCATGTTCTATTTCTTTAGGAGAATAGGTGGCAAATACCACTTAGAGAAAGGATGTAGATAGGGCTATTATGAGAGAGGAGAAGATAGCATAAATGAAACGGAAAGAAGAAAGAAAACTTTAAAAAACAACTTTGGAAACATGCTTTCCTAGCATGACTTGTCATATTTGATTCCCTAAGTCCCCAGGACCAATTTGTATAAAAGCATATGCATTACCACGAGATTCCGCGTTGGCAGCCTCTGAGAAGCAAGAACGAAAAGGACTCTATTTTGCCCCCTTGAACCTTTTGCTATCCTAAACGAGATGATTCCTTAGAAAAGGTGAAGGAAAACAGAATGGTGTGGCGAGTGTGTTCCTTTGATGAATGGGAGGTCACATCAAGACTGCTAACTCTTAGCCCCACCCACCTTTTGTTCCTTCCCCCTGGCGCCCAGCCTCGCCCACTTCAAACTCTTTGCTTGTTTTGTGCCAGTCGCTTTCACAGTCTTTGGCCCTCTCGTCTTTCTCGCAGCCTTTAGCACCTGAAGACCCAATCACCCCTCAACCTTGCAACTCCTTAGGGACTCAAGCGGTGTAACTGGGCATGCTCGGAGGCGCGGGCAGCCTTCAGTCTCTGCGAGGCGCGGTTCAGGGCTGGGCAGGAACCAGCGTGCCAGTCCAGCCCGGGCTTCAGCGCCCATCCCCGAGAATCTCAGGGATCCAAGCTGCACACTGACGCTAAACCTTCACTCTTGAGTGGCTCATCCTCAGTCTTCAACCTCTTGAGCGTCAATACAGTTTAGACATATTTCTCATTGAGGGACTGTCTTCCCACCTGTCTTTTCTTTGCAGCTAAGAGTGTTTTTAGCTACTGCGGCGTGAGGAGCTCAGGGATGGAGCCCTGTGGCTGGTGGCCGTGGAGATCACCTTCCCAGTGTAGTTGTTTGTCACTGAGTTTTGGAGATTTCTTGGCTGGCTTCCGCTAAAGCACGCTTGAGTAATCCGAGCTGTGGTGGCGCCCAAGCTCTCGGGATAAAAGGAGTGTGTGTGTGTGTGTGTGTGTGTGTGTGTGTGTGTGTGTGTGTGTAGGGGGAGAGGGCGGGGATAGAAACGTCAACCCCCCCCCCCCAGCCTCTTTTTCTTTTTCTCCTTCCTGCAAAAGCTACACAAGTCGCTCCCCCCTCCCCCAGGCCCGGTCGCCATCCTCGGGGTTCTGGGCAACAGCCAGGTTAAGCCCATTTGCACCGGAAAATTGGCGCTGTTTGGGAGAAGAGAAACAGATCGATTGCCCTTGTGACTCCCCGCCCCCCTTCTCACCCCACCCCCATCGTTCCCTCCCTCGTCCCTCCCCCGCCACCTCCCCTCACCCCGCCTCCTTCCCTCTCCCCACCCCCAAACCTCTCACCCGCGGCAGTCCGGTGCGAGGCCCCCTCCGGAAGGTGAGGGGAATGGATTGGACTCCGGTGGGTGAAGCGGGTGTCTAGAAGTGGTGCTAATGGGAAGAGATTTCTGCTTTCAAAAGAGGATGCTCTGCCACAAAGAGCGGCTCGCGCGCTGGCCTGGGCTCTAGCGGAGGAGAGATCCCGGGAGAACTCCGGAGCTCGCGGGGAGCGCTCCTCGGAAGACCCGGGTCAACATGCCTGTTCGCAGGGGGCATGTGGCACCACAGAACACATTTTTGGGGACCATCATACGGAAATTTGAAGGGCAAAGTAAGTTCGTTTGTTCGCTTCTCTCTCCCTCGCTTTCTGCTTTGATAGTGCACTTGGCTTCCGCCGCTTACTAGCTGGGGAGATGGGCAACTCCAGGCTCTGTCAAGTTCAGAGGCTGTGAAACCGAGCCAGGAGGCTCGGATGGCAGCGGGAGTGTTCTCCCTCTAATATTAATTTTGATTTACATTTTAGATTATGGTCTCTATTGTAGAAGGCAATTTGATCCTCCTCTCCCACTGCTCCATTATCTGCCTTGCTACTTAATGTCCTACTATTCTACTATCTTAAAGGGGAACGTGCTAGTATAACATGGGTTTATATTTTTGAGGCTGTTTTATTGTAGACTTTTGAAAGTCAGAAGCAGAGCAGACCCTACTATTTGAACAAGCGTATGTCAGTGGTAGTAGGGATGTAAATGGCTATGCAAACTATATTTTATCTTGGTAAATTGCAGGGCTGTGGAATGACAAGGATGCTTGCCTGCTGCTAGCTGACAGAAGCTAAACTTTGTATTGAATCTATGCAAATATATGCCCAAAGAGAGAATTTGGGAAAGCAGTATCTTATCTTTACTGGTTCCCAGTGCAAGCCGCTTATTATTCAAAATAATATTTCTGTCACTTTATGATCCTCTTAAAGTTTCCATTTAGAAATTTAAAAATTGAAGTATAATAAATAAGCCCCACAGATACTGAATGTAGAAAAATTTGATGTACTCATGTGGACCACCTACTGTGAATTAATTATTTTTATATAAACATAGTAATCTTAAATACTAGACTTTTAAATTTATATTCTATGTTTTCTTAAATGTACATTAGCACATTTATAGTGTATACTTTGCAGGGTTTTTTTTTGGCACTGCATTTAATGATGTGAAGATCTAGTACCTTATGTACAAAATAAACTTGTACTTCCTGCTTCACATTCAACCTGGAAATAGTAAATATATTATGTTATCAAAATAAATAAGTTCTTTGCATTAAATTTTCTATTACTGTACAAAATTTAAAGGTTCTCCCAAAGTAAAAGTAAAAAGGTGTTAACATGATATTGTGTAGGAAATGTATTTTTGGAAAAAATATATTATGAAAAGGTGACCATTTGCATTATTGAATTGTTAATAAATGTGAATTAGTTTTATTGCAAAGCTAGTTGTCTTTTTTCTTTTTCTTAACAATGTGTGTAGTATGCCTTAGAGGAATAGAGAAAAGCTAGATCCAAGAATAACTACTTTGAGAAAGTTGTATTCTAAGGGACAGAGTTGAAGTGAAAAATTTGACAGTTACAGGATGTTTCAATGTTTTGGCTTATAAATTTTTTTTATCTTACATTTAAATGCATTCTGGAAATATCAATGGGCCAGATGCTTGTTTGAATGTCCACTAGGACCCTTGGGAGTTGCAGCATTTGAGAGCTGGACTATCAGGGAAATTCTGTTCTTGCAATTTGAAGAGTGATTTTTTAAATACCTTTGGTTAAAATTACTTTGGACCATTAATCTCACTTTTAAAGTTTGTAGGAATTTTTTTTTTTTGATTTTTTTTCTTGGAAAGGTCTGGGCAGTTAACATTTTGGGGAAGCACCTACATTTCAGAGCTCTTATTATGCAACAAATACGTTCACTGTTTTTGAGAGTCTCATGGAAGCTTTTTAAAAGATGCCTTTACCATCTTCTTATTACAGATAAAAAATTTATCATTGCAAATGCCAGAGTGCAGAATTGTGCCATCATCTACTGCAATGATGGGTTCTGTGAGATGACTGGTTTCTCCAGGCCAGATGTCATGCAGAAGCCATGCACCTGCGACTTCCTCCATGGGCCGGAGACCAAGAGGCATGATATTGCCCAAATTGCACAGGCATTGTTGGGGTCAGAGGAGAGGAAAGTGGAGGTCACCTACTATCACAAAAATGGTAAAGTTTATTTAGGATTCCTCGTATTTTATTTCATTGAAAGGAAATTTTGATTACTGAAAGTCTGTGTGCAGAGACACTCCAGATATTTAATTGTACATGTATTCATTGCTTGTTGTGTTTTAGTGCCCAAGAAGTATGAATATTCTTCTTAGATTAATAGAAATTTTTTTCTTCTTCACTAAGGGTACTTTGAAAGTGCAGTAACTTAATGTCACTGAGGATAAAATGTCACAAATCAGTTTTGCACACTCCTTCTCTAAGGACTAATACAAAGATCAATAGTTTATTGCTTGCATTGATATGTATTTGGTAGGAGAGAAACAGTTTCATATTTTTGGACTTGAAAATACGTTTTGTATTGAAGTGTTGAAAACTGTGTAATCTGAAATTTAAGATTATAGCTATAAGCATTTCTTATCTCTTTAGGTGTTGATGTGCAACACCTCTTGTTTCTTTTGTTCATTTTTAAAAGAAGAGTAAGGATGATGTATAGGAACTTCTAAAAGTGGTCCAGAAAGTCTGTGTATATTCAAATAGTAAAGCCTGTTCATGTATTTGATACTGTTATAAAATAAGAAATATAGAATAGGAACTATGACTCTGTGAAGTTATTAGTAATCATTTTACAGCTGCATCAAAACTGGCATCTCAAACTTAAGGTCATGGCTCAACTTCAAGGACACATTTCCTTCTTTTAGACTTGCCATGAGGGAGACATGCATACATTAAATACACGTTATTAATGAATTCCTGTGGATGAATACTCAAATATTCCCATTTTGATGCATCACACATTCTCAAATGTTGACACTTAATGATATTTGACAAGTTAAGTTTTAAATGTCAAACAATTTTTAAAAACACACATACTGCAGTTAATTTTGTCAATATTGTATTATTATCTACTTCTTTCTGTTCCACTGATAGAAATTAATGGAGAGGAGGGGTATCTTCAGATTTGGGGGAAACTCTCAAGTATTTGGTAAATGTGTGATATGCTATAGCCTATGTCATATAATGAGTCATCATTTGATAAACCACAGAGAAAAAGTAGCAAGGAAAAGATTTAACTCTTCCTCTTCTTTCCTTATAATTAAATGTTTCATGATAGAATATGTACAGTTCTTAATTACTCTATTAAGTATTACGTGAACTTAAGTGGTTATGTGCAACCAAGTATTACTGGAAAAACAGGTTTGTATAGCTTTGTATTAATCTGGAATGAAAGCAATTATATGATTATCAGAAGGCATAGAGGTTGTTTTTCAATGTTGTCCCTCTTCCTCTCTTTCCCCATCAGTAGTGTTAGCATACTAGAAATAGCCTAATTATTTTATTTTCTGAAGGCATGTATTGGACTGAAGGTCTCACTACCCAAATCAGCTTCTCTATTTGTATACCTGAAGTCAACAAACTGGACCTTTGACATGTTTTGAGTGTCTGACATTATTTCCCCATGTGAATGTTTATTGTGAAGTCAATTCAGTCTGTACTGTGGCTCTTCAGAGAATGTTGAACCATCTTTAGTCACTATGTTTTCTAGGCTACTCTATATATCAGACTTTTTCTTCAACTCTCAGATTTGAAGCATAAAATAAATTTGGTCTGCCCAATTGCATAGATCCTTAGTATGCAAAGTGTTTTTGAATAAAAATTAATATTACACTGCCATTGAAATGGTGATATTTTGAAATCTAGTTAGTTTGTTCATGACTGTATAAAATAATCTCAAAACACCTTAAAAGGAAATTTCATATGGAATCACGATTGTAAAAAGTTATGTAGTAAAGATGTTAGTGTATTCAGAAATGTAAATTTTCTTCTGAATGATTTGCTTGGGTATATGAATTAAAGTTCTTGTTTTCTTACGAAAATTATTTGAAAGGTCTTTTAGGTATGGAAATGTCAAGCTTTGGTGATAATTTTGTTCTTTTTTTTTTTTTCCCCAGATTGTGATTCAGTCTTTAAGGACTTGAGTATCTTTAGCATTAACAACAAAAGTTGCCTATTTAGGTTTAATTGATGTGAGAAACGTGAGATCATTAGTCAAGATTTTTCTGGGTTTTCCAAATTAAAATAATTAATTTAAATGAACTTTTTAGATTAGGATTCAGTCACACTTATTTTTCTTAATGTGTTTTGTGTGTGTTTCTCTGTGTGTGTGTGTTGTTGATACTTCCAATACTTTTAATAGAATCTTCAGAGCATATTGGTTTCATTCACATGCCAACTGTAAAATCAGTCAGAACTTCTGAAGTTCAAGTGCTTTAATAGTCTTACATCTTAGAGACTTGCCAGGCATTGTGCATTTACAAAAGCAGGAAAAAAAATCAACATTTTCATTGGTTTGCTTCTCAAAGTTTCTTAATTCTTAATAATTGAGGACATTCACTTTTGGTAGTTTCTTGGTTTCTTGACTATTTACAGTAAATGCTTCCTTGACTTATTCTTAATTTAGCCTTTTATAGGAATGTAGAAAATCATGCTATAAGCACAATGAGGAATTTAATAAGAAGTTGAGATACTCTGTTTTCACTTTCTCTATTTATTCAAAATGGAGTAGCAAATGTATGAGCAAGGCATTATTTCTGAAATTTGTTTCCAAAGTAACCCAGAGGCTTTATAAGCTGGTTAAACTCATGATCTATGCAAGGAGTTCACATTGGTACAATGTGCTGTGAACCGCATGATCCATTGTGAAGCAACACTTCCTACATCGCTCCTTTATGTGTTTATGCTAGGTACAATTGAACTTGCTGTTTGCCAGAATATCAATTTTTGAAAACCTTGTTATTTGCAATAGGAATATTTGACAGCCCTTCCTTTGAGGAGTCTATTTTACAGTTTAAATCATTATTGCATAAATCATTCTTGGCAGCTGTGAAATATTGCTTGAGGTGATGAAGCTGTAAATCTTTTGACATAAAATTCTAATTATACAAAACTATAATTATGCCAAGGCTTATATAAGGATGGGTATGTATTTTAATAGTGTAATATATTCACTTTAAAAGCAACATTTTTAGGCATAGTGATTGAAAAATCACAAATACTTCAGTTATTAACTAGTCCATCATTCTGGAAGTAGGAAAAAAAAAAAACCCAAACAAAAGATAGTTTAGCTGATCATCCCTTAGTTTATTGCTCATCTGGTCTGGGATGCATGCTGCAATAAAATTAGCTAGTTAAAGTGCTAAAACCCCTTCAATCACATTTAGATATGCTTTAAATCATCAAACAACTTTAAACATTTGGAAAAATAAAAGTAAATTTCTCCAGGACAAATAAGGATCCTTAGAAGGAAAACATGATCTAAAGTGTTTTATTTTAGTGGTCATAGCATTCCTGTATTTTTGGCATTATGCTTCCAGAGGTATTAAAATGACAATTTTGTTAACAAAACAGAAATGTATAGTACTACTTTCTTCATCTTTGAAGCTTATTTTAAAGAACTGAGGGACGAGTAGGGGCTGAAGAAAGATTTTGCCTAATCCAGAAAATCTCCAGAAAGCAAAGTTACAGCGGCAAATTTTGATGCAACTAAACACAAGAAGAGGTCTTGGTTTGCTAACACAGAACCTGCTCTCTCTGACAATTATGCAGAATGACCTTCTTTAAAGTACGGATTTGTGAGTAAAGATGAAGATGCATGTTGAGCGCCCCCTCTCTCTAAGGAAATGTTTTAAGCCCTAGGGAACAGAAGGAGGATCTGCAGTGGAAGATACAACTTGATCTCTGCTTTCAGAACTTTTGTATTATAGAGGCACTTATGTTCATTTCTGTCTTCTAATCCCTGGATGTTTTCATGAAATTGTTTTCAAAGAAAAACAATATATGAACTATAAAATGAAGGTTTTTATATAGAGAACCTACAAAATTTAGGACTCTTGCCATTCTTCTTCTATTTCCCAACCTTAAAATAAAGTTGCTAATGTACATATACACATTATATTTAATATAATTACATATAATATAAACACCTTTTACTGTTTACGTATAATAATTTTGTTAAAGCAGCAACACAGTTCAGTTAAAATTTTAACAGTACAAACTTAACTATTACAATAGCTTTCTATAAGTTATAAGAAACATAATATATTCAGCTCTCCTAATTCTTGGATTGTGTAGTAGAGATACAGATGGTATTTCTTAAGACAAGAATAGAAATATACATCATGTGTGGGTAATTCAGGCAATAAGAAACATTTCCAAGGAGTATGTTGCCTATAATTTGTTTTGGTGTCATTTTAACTCCTTGTTTATACTATTCCCTGTCCTACTGATAGGATATTATAGCAACAAATAATCCTAAAACTCATTTCCTTCCACCTACCTAAATTTCATTACCTCCCATGTGTTCTGGATATTATACTTGTTCAATTGTATTTATTGGTGAAATGAACATTGTCAAGAAACAGTCTTCCTCACAATGTGAAAACTTTGTTTTGTTATTGTTCCCAGTGAAACCAAATGGCTTGGAAATAGGAGTGAGCTCTTGTTTATTGATCCTCTTATGCCACCTGCTAGTACTATACCTGTAAGCAGTTCTGATGCTAGAAAAAAGTGATGTTTTCTGTGGCTTGAGAGATAACTGCTTGGTTATTTTTATACCCAAAGGACTTGAGAACAGAGTCAGTTTAAAACAATGGGACTAGAATAGGTTTAATGGAAAGAACTTGCTTCTACTGGCCTCTAAGTGTTTTGGTTTGTTGTTACTGTTGCTTGTTATAAATAACTACTGAATCAACTGCTGGCAGCCAGCCTGCCATGAGAGTCCCTGCATACTTGAACCACAGGGAAGTAGCAGTTGGAGTATGAAGAATGGAGGCATCGCCTTGCATTTGGTCATCTATACTAGAAACCTTAGGTCATTTTATGTTTTTTTTTTCTCTCCCCCTTCACTCTAAACCCAGCTGGCCACCAAATCCTTTCAGTCTTTACATATGAAATATCTCACAATGCTATTCCTACTTCTCCATCCACTGTCAAGTGCTCTG